AAAAGGGTCAAAACACTATTATTAACATAAAACTATATATAAAAGCATTAGACATTCACAAAGATTAATGAAAGCTTTGTTTCACATATTATTTACATCTCTAAAAACATATAGTTGAACCCAAGCAGATACATAAACAAAAATTATGAGAGGATATCATTGTGACATATTAGATATAAGTTATAACACTGAAGAGAAAGGAGACAAATAATCACACGCCAATATTTAATAAACATATCTATAGACACGCATTAATGGTGAAATGCTTCAAATAACTCCTTCTCTCTTGTTTGTTTCCCCATGATATGTAATGTAACTGTTTGGGAACATGTAAAATTGGCATTATACATGTGTCAAAGGGTAACAATTTTTTTATGGTCAAATATATTTTTTTAGTTGTTAGAATATTTTGTTAAAAGTTTAAATAGTTTAATGATAATTTAATTTTGTTAAAAATAAAAAATTTTAAGTTTTACTTATATGACATTAGAATCGGATGAAATAAAATAAGAGGTAAAAAATAATTATTTTTTGTTATATAATAAAAAAACAATTATGATGCACCTAACTAACTTGCGTGCACATTGAAGTACCATAGTAACTTCCATGCGATAGTCTAACTTTACCTCTTCCTCATTTAATTAAAAAGTAAGTTATCAACATTTAATTAAAAGAAATAACCAACATTCCCACTAACTAGTCAAAATTACTAAAAAATTCTGACTGTACCTTCTTTTACACTTCCCCTTCGATACTGTCGATGTAAATAACTAACGTCGCAAATATTTGATTATTATACCAACAAGAGGTTGGATGAAGTGATAAACGGTTTGTTTTAGTTTAAGTAAAATTTTGAGTTTGAGTCATTGTGTACGTAACAACTCTCGTTGGGAGACTCACTTATCATTTTTAGGTGCGCGACATAAGTCAGATCCGTATTAATCGTGATAAAACCCCGAATACGGGCAAAAAAATAAAAGTATTTGATTATCATCATTCCTTCATTATTATTATTCCTTCATTATTATTAATACACGTGTTAGATGAGTGTCAATTGAAATACTAGCTTCTTCTTTTTTTTTTTTTTGTTTTTTTTAATATTATAATTATTTACTTATTAATTGTGAGAATGATGAAAGGTTTTGCTAAGTTTGAACACCTAAACTTATAAGAGGTGAATGGTTCTAACATAGATTTAATGTTATTAGGCTGGAGTGGATTGTTGAAGTACTAACTTGTTTTTTCTTTTTAATATATTGTAATTATTTATATATTATAAAAATATTAATTAAAATTCATAAAAAAAAAAAAAAAACAACTTATATTTTGAAATACAAGAAATAGTATTAAACTTTTTCAGGATATAATAGAATAAAATCCCCTAAATCCTCTCTAATGCCCCATCGTCTCCTCCACTTCCATTTCAATCTCTTTTTTTCTAAAGTTTAATATTCAGAAATCAGAACTTCAATGTTTTTATATAATTTATACTGCTCTGTACCAAACTAGTTTTAAATGTAGAGGCTGCCTCCCATTTAAGGTTCTTTTTTTTCATAATTTTGTGTAGTTTAGATTATAGAGAAGGAGACTCTTTTTTTTTTTTTTTTGAGTGTTACTTAGTGCAGTCTTATGCTTTTAACTAATAAAACCGTCCTCCTCATCATCACAAACTCAACTCTTTTTTTTTTTTTTTTTTTTAAGTTTTAGTTAGTACTCACTTCATAGTTGAGTATACACTTACTAATTAAATATTCAAATCTTATAATGTTAAGTAGTTACCTACCAAAGCATATATATATATATACATATGAACTATTCCATTATCTGTTTTAAAATTTTTTTTAAAAGGGTCAAAACACTATTATTAACATAAAACTATATATAAAAGCATTAGACATTCACAAAGATTAATGAAAGCTTTGTTTCACATATTATTTA